GTTTCGGTGACGTTCGTCCGATATCATCGAATAATGCAGAAACAATACGAATGAGAATAGCTGAAAAATAAAGGAATGATAATAAGTGGTATATATATTTGATTCAACATAATTAAATATTTACTTGAATTATATTACCTTCGAGTAATAATAATTACAAACATGACAATGCAATTAAAGAGTCCAATAGCGATCTTCTCGCTACATCTCGTTACATTTTTACGCACACATTGTCCCTTGTCAATAAATGCCTCGCTTCGCCTCGTCAATCCAACTCGTCATCGTCTCCGCTTGTTTTTCATTTTCCAAGCGTGTTAGGTATACTCGCGTTGATCATTCGTTCGAATCGACGGTGTGTTTGTCCGATGAATCAACGTTGAATTGAACGGGTGCGTCGGATTTTCCTCTTTTTCCCTCTCTCTCTCTCTCTCTCTCTTCCTCGTCCTACGTTTTGCGAGCGTGTGTTATTTTGAGAAGGAATGGCGGAATTTTGAGAGTAAACTGTCAGGGAAAGAGAGTATTCCGTTTTTTTTTTTTTTTTTCTTTTCTTTTTTTTTTTGATCCTCGAGGTATTAGGCATGACGAACTTTTGTCCAGTTTGCACGTGGAGTTGATTTTTCCGAATGAAAAGTAGAATATTTGTTGTGCAAATGTTCTATTATTCAAATAGCAAATTTCCTCGTTATTTTAGCATGAGTACAGGTAACCTGATTTTCTGAAATCTTGATTCGTTCTCTCTCTCTCTCTCTGTCTTTTTTTTAAGAGGTATTTCGGAATTAATGAATAATAAAATTTTATCCAGAAAACTGAAATCTTGACAAATATTTCTTACAAAAAAAAAATGAAATTATTTGTGGGATACCTGAGAATGAAAATTTTGATTTACAATTATAATTATGTATTATTTTAACGCTTGATAAGTTATTGAAGTTAACTAATTAAAATAATTATATGCATGTGGAGGATATAAAATTATCTTAAATTAGGGTATGAAATTGCAACAGAAAGCTCGATATTAATTTATGGCAGACCTTAAAATAGATTGAATCGATATAGATGTATTGATAACTGATACCAAATATCTAGATCATCAAATTTCATAAAGATGTCAATCAATTGACAAATAGATATAAAAAGTAACAAATGCAAAAGAATGATAACTACATACATTTTCATTGTATTTGGAATTAAATTAATTGCATAAAATAACAATAAGAAGTTATACAGATATAAAATTTACGATAATCTAGTATATACTAGTATTTATCCGATGCAATAGGGCTGCACTGGTTATATTTATCAGGAATATGGATCAGCCATAAAGCATTTAAGTCGTTAGACGTCGTAAGAAACGCAATATCGAGTACTCGTACGTGGTCGATTTTCCAGGGGGCTTTAAACGGCCTTTAAAATTTATCGTACCCTCATTTAAAGCAACTCTGAGCCAAAGGTTTTTAAAAAAACGCTCCGCACTCTGTGCAGTTTCATGACCGTCATCAAACCAGTCGTTGTGTCGTTTCTATTGAACACCATAAAATCTTTATTTTGAAATAATCTTTCTTGGAAACTCGACTGATTTTTATCTTTATTTCAATATCCTGTTTAAAATGTTCATATAATTTTCGTTTGTTCAATTTATTTAACGATGTCTTCCATTCGGTAAACTACTGTTCCATTTGTGTCGATGCAACATGTGTTATAATGCTGAAAATCATTGTGTAGAATAGATTGCCTGAAGCATAAAATTAGTTGCTATATATTTTAAAGTATAATTCGTAATTGCCTAATCTATAACTATTTCAAAAATTGATTCAGTATCTTAAAGTGATGAAAAGTTTATATAAAAATATATCTCGTTTGATGTACACAAGTGAGCTTTGTGTTATTTTTTTTTTTTTTGAATAAATGAAGAATAAATAAGAATATGCCAACAATGGTTAGAAGCAAAGATTGTTACAATGAAACGGGAGGAGTAAAGCAGTTCTAGTAGTGTAGATGTAGTAGTTAGACAAGTAGTATTGATCCATTGTAGTCAGACGGATAAACAAGAAGAGTCATTGTTCGACAAGTAGAATAGAACACTTGTAGCCAGACAAGTGTCTACGAATACAACTAAATAAGAACGAACCATTTTTCTTTTTTTTTAAAATAACGTTAAATGAGAAAAATTTCATCTAATTTTTTTTATCTACAAAAAAGCAATCCCTTTGTCAAAAATTAATCTTTTGAACTCTCTCCACCTATGCAACATCGATAAAATATTTCGTTGCACGATACATTTTTTCCACAAAGAATAATTATTTTTAAAAGAGATACCGTACAAAATCTCTGCACAAGGAACACTAATAAAATTTCACACAGAAGTTTTAACGATATTAAAACGCAGGTTAAAACCGTGCCTGAATACGAAACAACGAATACAACTTCTTAGTTTAATTAAAACGTTTTTCGCAAAGATAGATAGCAAACGAGGTTGAATTTATCCACGGCTCGCTGTTGTCCACCAATTTATTAGGCGCGAGGGAACGATTAAAAACTGGTTTCGATCGTTCGATCATCGTGAAAAATGTCCATCTTTGGACAATAAAAAAGGAAGAACGCCGACAAAGAGTTCGTTCGGTTATAAATTGTATTAACGAACGGTCTATTAATTACAGCGGTGATGATTAATATTAAAACGGAGTCACGCCTCTTTGTCTCCACTTCGACACGGAATAGACCTCTCTTCTATACTATACACAACGCAGGGGATACCTTAATTGTGTTGTTGTAATATTCTTATCGATTATTATATTATATTTACATATAAATCGATCCAACGAAAATTTTAGTTTTTCTCGTTGCAAGATATATTAATATAGAAATTTAAACTCTTAAACAGTGCATCAAATGACGTTAGACGAAAGATAATAATATAGAGTATCGATGTAAAATATGAATCATCAACGTTACTGATGATTCATTATTCAACGATAAAAACACATTTTAATACATAAATTCATTTGAACGTTGGAAACGTTCAAATCTTAGAATCGAATGAAATCATTCCAAGTAATACCTTTCTCTCTTCTCGTTCCACATCCATCATTACCAATCGGCTCGAAATTATCGAAATCGTCAGAATTACTTATTCCTCGGGTAAAATGCGCTGCGTGATAAATGGATGCCGTAAAAAGCGGGGAGGGGGAGGAGGAAAGAAGGAAAGAGAAGCGAGTAGGAAGGGAGAAAGACGAGAGAGAAATATCCAGGGGAACGTGGCCTTGCAAAACGGCGCAACATTCGATTCGATTTAAATTGGCATTTACCCCTCGCCGAGGAAATAATGGCGGCGGCTTTTTTTTTTCTTTTCTATCGAACAATTGAATGTTCATTAACGTATCAGGCGTCAGTCGGGTCCGAGCACCTGGCGCACCGGTTTGTTCTCGATTATTTTGCCAACGATCGGGAATAATAATATTAATGGACGGCGATATCGCGACGATATCCGCCCGCCATCTCGTTTTCAACGCGGCCAAACATTCGTGAAATCAACGTTTAACGACCAAACAGGATTGACGTGTTTAACGTATTTGCCGTGTTTCAAACCTCGAATCTCTTAATCCTTTAATTCCAAAATTATTCGGTGCTTCGATAATTTTCGTAAATTCGTAGAATAATAATATCTTGATTATTTAGAATTATAGTGAACCGTGTAATTCTATGAATTAGAGATCTTGATTCGACATGTAGTAGTAGTTTTCTTTTGAAACTTTCGTGAAAATTCGATTTTTTATATTAAATATTCGAATATAGAAAGTAAATTTTATTTTTGGTAAGAAAAACGATAGTTTTGCAATTTGGACAAATGAAATTGGTCTCGTTTAATTACGCTTCTTCGTTTTAAGTGGTAAGAATCGAAGGAAATAAAGAGTAAAGAATTTTGATACGTTAATTGGGAAGGATCTCTCTCTCTTTTTTTTTTATTTGTTCATTCTCCATTCTTTTCTTTGATATTCGCACGCAATCAATTCAAACGGGATTCGCCATTCACTGCATGATGCATTGCGATCTTCAACTCGTATTGACACGAGAAAAATTGCACAGAGTATGCAATTTTATTCCATTTCTTCGTGAAATGGCGTTCATTTTCTTTTCTCTATGATATATATTTTAGTAAAGAGTTTTATCAATAAGAAAATAAATTTTAAATCTATGCATAATTGAATCAAATCCTCGAATGTAAAGTTCGAATTAATTTTCGAAGGTACAAATGTCAATTTTAATTCGTAATTCGAAAGAAGAAGAAAAAAAGAAGAAATAGTCAAATAGGAACAATAACAAAACGTGGCGAAAATACATATTTTACGTACGCTGCACGAATAGAATCTATCGTAGTATTATGAAATAGTTTCAGGAAAAATAATTCTTGAAAAATATTATTCAACGTCCCAAGTTTTAAACCCAACCCCTCTGTCAACTAACCTAACTTTTTCTCACGATTATATATTGAAAATTATTCGATATACATGTACATATTTCTCCAACAGAAAATATACATGCATCTGTATTTTCATTACATATTTTCTTTCCAAATGATAGATTTGAAAATATTTGAAAATAAATAAATTGATCGAAAGATTATCCTCTCCTACTTATATATCTACAAATTACACTTTATTTGTTTTAATTTCGATAAGATATAGAAAGTTTCGTGTCTTGTTTCGGATGATACAATTTTTCTGAACAATTTTCTAAATTAGAAAACACGACGAGCAAAAGTAATTTTTCAAAAATAACGTTGCGATCGATTATTTTTTTTTTTTTGTATCAAAATATCTCGAGAACATCAATTTCGCTTTTTCTTTTCATGATAAAATTTCTACCCTTTATTCACATATTTATACGTAAACTGCGTATCACATACGTTACAGAAACAACCGAAAGCGAAGATAACGACATTCATCAGTTACATTCAAACTTTAACGATGGTTCTTCAGGCAAAAAAAAAATATTTCTGCATCTATCATATCCGCGTTTACACGTGAAAAATCGTGCCGATATTTACGTAGACCGTTTTGCAAAAAATATTTTCCCCATGGTATGCATTCTCATCGCCAAATTTCTCGTCGAATCTATTGCGTAAAAAAAAAAAAAGAAAAAAAAAGAAAAACAAAAGGAATAAATTTTTCTAATCTTCGTCAGACTGAAATAGAGTAACAAGGGAACAAATTCGAAACTCGTTGCTTTCGTTTCGAACTTTGTTCTCTCTTTTCTTTTCCCTCTTCTATGACCGACTTGTTTCGCGTGACGAAAATTGTTCAACCATTAACAAATAATCTTATATCGATTTCGCAATATTTAAGTGGGAGAATAAGTGGTTCTGATATACCGTAATGATAGACCGGTGTAGAGAAATTTAATTGCGCGGCAAGTATGTTTATATCGGCGCCTTTCGTCGAAAGAATGTTACGTAGAAGAGCTCGCGGTTTAATCAAAGTAATAAATTACAAGATTTGTTTTCTAGGCCGAGCGGAAAGGAAATGCACAAGCTACTTTTTGAATAGGTGTACCGGTTCGTAATCGTGCACGTAACGCCAGTGTATCAACAGAATATTAATATTCCAGTCCGAGGAATGAAATTGATAATAGTAAATTAATATTTTCTATTAATATTTTCATCCATTGAAAGATAAATGTTACAATACTCGTTAGAAATACTTAAACGTTCACGATATATTCGCTTTTTATTGTATACTTTCTTTCACTCACATTTTAGAGCTGTCTTATTATTAACGAGAGCGATTAATGATAGATCAGATGAATCAGCGTTTCTTATCATCGGTCGTACGTATTTCTTAAATGAAAGTAGATCACGTTCACAGTTTGTACGTGCTCCTACAACTCGGAAATTAATTCCTTCAGGTCGATATCTGCTATGAATTCGTAGCTGATATTCCTATTATTCTGAGCTGTGCGTTTCAAAGTAATTTTTTTTTTTTTTTAAATAATAATCGATTGAATTACAGATGTGGAAAAATCAAATCTTTAACTTAAGACTATATAATTTTAATTAGAGTTTAATTTTCTATTATTTCTCAACATATATTTTCGAATGATCGTCCGAATTATAAATTTAATTTCACAATTCCTTGAAACCAATTCGATACCATTCAAGTACCATTTCCTCGAACGCGTTGTCACGTTATATAAGTTAAAACGACGATTTTCATCGGTTAATAATCAACGATCATCATCGGTTAATTATAGAAACTTCAATGGATTTAGACGTAACTGAGGAGGGGAGGGCCGTTGTATCGTAAGTGGTGGACAATTAATAATTTAATGGAAACTGTGCTTCCATTTAATCCGCGTGATAGCACTTGCATAGTGCATTAAGAGAATTAAATTCCCGCCTCTGAAATATGAATGCGAAAGCAGAATTCTTCCCCGATGAAGTAAACTCGTTTTATACTGACCCATTTTTTTCCTTTCCTTTTTTTTTTTTACTCCTTCCAATGACCAACAATTCCACGTATATTTATAAACGATTAAATCGCGAAGGAATATACATTCCATCCGATACAAACTCGCAATGGTTTAATGAACGTTTCATAAAAACGTTCAATGCGCCACTTGTGCTTCGTTGCAATTTCTCCCACCTATTTCTTCGACCATTCATCCACCCCCATCTCGTGAATTTCGATTAATCATTCTTCGATCGGTAATTAATCGCGAGGAAAAATCGTAGAATTTGTATCGTCCATCTTAAAACTTCTCGAACGTTTATAGAAAAATTCTTAGCAAGATTATTCGGCAAGATCGATCGAGAATTTTTCTATTATTGGATGAATAATAGAAAATGAGCGAATATAATTGTTTATAATTCCTTTTTAAAATTATAAAGTTAATACGTATTGTTTACAACAAAATAATCTGCGATGCTACACTATTCGACAGACAAGTAAAATCCAAATCGTTATGGAACGGGAGAAGGCAAACTAAATCTCTGATAAAACTTTAATCGAGCCGAGCCCTCGTTCTCCGAGCTTCACTGCCAATAAACGGCGCGATGTTTTATTTTCTTCGCGCCGAAGAAAAGAAAATTTACGGAATTTTTCGAGAGAAACGAGAGAAATTTATCGCCGATCCGAAACGATCCCAATATTAAAAATTTTATCCTTGACAAAATAATATCGAATTTCGTTACGAGCCATTGTTCTTACTGCGAATAGCAACGTGTTCGTGTAACAGTAAGCGGAGGATGATCGTGCATGTGTTGTATTGTGATTCTTCGCCTTCTTCTCTCATTGTTCGATGCAAAATTCGCGAAAAGAGTATCGTTAGACCTTTATTGAATTTTTATGCAAACATATATATATATATTTGTCGTGTTGTGTTCGAATATCGTGAAACACGTCGATTATTCCAATAGATAACAAGAATATTATACGAAACAAGATTATTATATCAAAACAATTAATTACCTTAATTATATATATATATATATACATGGTTAAGTAGATCTCAAACGCTTCAACTCTCGTTTAAACTAAACTCAAACTTCAGAAAGAAAAAAAGTCGCTTCTAAACGTCACCATTTACCTTCCATCGTCCACAATTATTAAAACTTCATAAAAAAAAGGAAAGTCCACCTGCGGTCCACCGACATTAATTAAATCCCATTAAAACTTGAAAATTTGGAAAGATCCGGGCGGAAAACCTCGAAAAACCGGTTCCAAATACTCGAAAACGTCGCGACGCCCTCGGCAAACCCTTTCAATTTCCAGATGACCACCCTTCTCCACGGAGGACGAGGAAAAATTCGCAAGAACTCATTGTTAATTTTCCCTAAGTGCATTCGATCCCCGCTGCGGCGGTGGCCCGCTTATCGTGTATTAGAATGCCTTCGCGGAGGGTTCGAGGGGGTGAAGCACGACGGGGGACAGGGGCTTTCTAATTACAACCGCATCCCCGTCGACTCGCTAATTTCCATTCCCCCGCTTGCTTAGCTGGGAGAAGAAAGAGGGAGGAAGAGGGAGAAGGAGAAAGGGTGATGGAGGGAAAATGATAGGGTGGAATGATAAGTGGAGAGTGAAAGGGGGATGAAGTTGCGCGATGGAGTGAAGAAAGTAGGTGTGGTCTGGAGGAGATGAAATAATGATGTTGTTGTTTGAACGGAGGAGAAGGGTAGTATGTGTAATCACTTTTAAAGAGAAAATAGAACGATGGAATTTTAAATTTCGAGTTTTGTAAAATATCGAGCGTTTCAACTTTTCTTTCTTTCTTTGTTGCTATGTTTCTATGTTCGGATATGAATTAATATACGTGAGATCTTATAAATATTTTTAAACGAGTCAGAATTTTCAGGATGGAAATGATTACTCGTTATTTTTAAAAAGTGTACGAATAATTTAAAATCTTACAGAAGGTAGGGAATTTTCTGCTTTTATTAGTCAAGAGATAAATATAACGCAGCATTTCGAACGTTCGTTCTTCAAGATTATATCATAAAATCTTGTGAATAATGGAAAAGGATTAAATTTCGTATTTAATTTAATTTCAAAACGAAGTGATTCCGCGAACTTCGTTATCTCTTTTGATCGTTTCGCTAATTATAAAAAGCTTCTGTAAACTTCTCAGATTTTTGTAAAAATGTTTTCAATTGCCTAGGATCGTGCGATGGAAATCCTCTTGACACCGACACTTTTCTTTTCTCATCATACTGTCATTATTCAAAGGGCTTAGCTTTTTTTCTTTTTTTTTTTTTATTCTCGCGTACCATCAAGTGTCCCGAAATTTTTATTCGCTTCCGACGTACGAGGAAAAAAGAAAATGAAAAGAAAGAAAAATTGTCAAGCCGATTCTTCACGATGAGAAGTTTTTGGAGAAGAAAAAAATAAATAAATAAAAAATATCGAAACCATGTTTTCTTTGTATGAAAATTAGCCAAGTGCTCTGGAACTCGGTATTACGTCGAAATATCCAATGCTTTGCTTGGAGAATATACTTTTTTTTTTTTTTCGAACACTCTGTGGATGTTCCATTCATTGTTAGAATTTTTTATGGAATAATTTTTCGCGACCGTTTTTTTATAAACGTGAAGGGAGGATTTTAAAAATTCTATTTTGTCTTGCAAAGAGAAATCGAATTTTTCTTTCTCTTATTTTTCTCTGATGATATATCGTTAATATTTCAATACGTTTTATATTATATTTCTTTTAATATCACAAAGAATAATGATAATCCTTTTTTTTTTTTATACTTTTGACTATTAATTAGTCGATTCGTTCTTTGTTATTAAATGGTACAATACATATAGCGTGAGAAACTGCAGGTCAAAGTGGTTGAGCAAAGTGAAAGGAAGATGAAGAGGGGAAAGGGCTGAGTGAAAATGTGAGTGAAAACAGAGAGACACTGTGCGAGAGGGGGCGAGAAAATGGCGGGACACGTTGAAAGAGGTCAAGAGGTTAATCTGTTCGATGCTTCTTGGCGTGAGATAAATTACTTTTGTTTGTTACGAGTTTTCCTGCGTTTTAATGATTTCTGTAACTGATGTTATTTCGTTTCTATTCTATAACTAACACTTTTAAATGATGTTTTCAACGAAATCTGAAAAGTTTGATTTAACATAAACATATCTAATGATCCATCAAATCAATTATTTTTTAACTTTAATTAATTCTAATGTCAACTCAATCAATATTCGAATATGGAAAATAGAAGAGAATTCTGATGCAAGAAGAAAAATAATGAGTAAGTGTATAGAAAAGAGAAAGCAGAAATTAAAGAAGAAAGAAAAAAAGTGCAAAAAAGTGTAAGTGGAGAAGTTGAGGTGGAATAAAAGAGTACGAAGAAAATTATGGAAAGAAAACGTGAAGAAGAGCGTATAAAAAGGGATAATGGAATAAAAAAGCAAACAGAAAAAGTCTAAAAGAAAATGAACTGAGAGAAAGAATTCAAAAAAAAAAAAAAACAAGCTCAAACAAAATATTGAAATAAAAAGGAATCACAAAAATATCCAAGTATACGTAAAACAAGGAGTCAAAAAATAGGGAAAATTCAAGCAAAAACATGATTAATTAAAAGAAAATGATACATATCTCGAAATTAATATCTAAAATAATTACGAGCAAAATTTCATTTCATCCAGATTCCTATTTTCATACTCACGTATAAAATATCCTTTCAATGCGATAATTATTAAGAATTGAAATCGACGAAACGAAGAAACGATATATCGAAAATTAATATTAAAAATTAAAATTAAAATTTAACTTTTGAAATTTACACGCGAAATTTTGTCCAGATTCACATATTTCCACATCCTTTCACGATTTTTGACGATCTTTTAACGATTGAAAGAAATATTATAAATTCATCGTGATTAATCCAATTAAAAAAAAAAACATTTATAACCCTCTCGCATTTTCGAAAATCGTTCCAATTGTTTTTTTTATGCCATGTCATTTTCGTTCACGCGCGCCTCTCTCGATCAGAGGGTGAAATTTCAAAAAGAGAGAGAGAGAGAGGAGGACAAGGCAAATTCGCATCCGTTCCCGGATGTGCAACGTG